TGGATTTGTTGTTTCCAGTGAGCACACACATTTCGAATATTAGCAAAAACTTGATCGTATGCTGGGCGTAAAGGCTAGGAGCCTCAACCCATTTCTGGAAATTGGGAGCACCCAGAGCACCTTTTCTGAGCATAATACCCTCGACAACTAAAAGAAAACTAGAAAAACTCCATACACTTGACACTTGAAAAACACTCCTGAAATCTTGAGTCAAAGAAGAGATGATAACGCGAACCAAAAATGTTGAGAACCAAAAACAATAAGGTAGATAGACTTATTTCAGAATTCGTGGGGCGCCTGAAATGACAGTGTGGGGGAAGTGACAGCTTTTCGGCGTTTACATTCGTAGCATTCTAAAATGCCTGCCACCCAAATAAAGTGGAAGAAAAATACGGATAGGAACAGAAATCCATGCATTAGAACAGACACACGATCATATCCACAAAGACAGATGTTGGTAATTCGAAAGCGTAATAAAACAGACAAATTCCCTGGCAAGATTAATTTAAAAAAAAAATAAAGAGGGGGCGCCTGGGTGGCTCAGTTGGTTAAGCATCTGACTCTTGATCTCAGCTCAAGTCTCGATCTCTGGGTTTGAGTTAAAGCCCCACACTGGGCGTGGAGCCTTCCTAAAATAGTAAGAGGAAAGGCACAGACACTATGAGGAGTGAACCACGGGAACATAACTGCCAAGAATTCCCGTGCAGTGAGAGGCTGTTTGATCAACTCTGTTCTTACAAAACCCGAAAACGTAAAGAGGATAAATTTAGAAGGAAAACTTAGCAGAGCTGGCCAAAGAACAATAGAAAAACCCCAAGGTAGGGATCGTGCTATAATCATTGAAGGCATTGAGTCAGAGCTCAAAAATCCTCCCCACCCAGCGATCCACCCAGAGGGCTTTACCTGGCAAATTCTAACACATTCAAGAAACAATTCCACCTTTATACAGACTCCTTCAGAGGGTAGGAAAGTGGGGAGTGTCCCTCCTGGTTTTATGAGATGAGCATCACCTTACCACCAAAAACAGACGGGACATACCATGTGAGAACAGACCTGCCAGGCCACCGCTAGCTACGACCACAGACGGAAAAAGCCAAGACACAATTGCAAATCCAAACTGAAAAATATACAGACGATACAGTACATGATGAGAAGCTTTGTTCACAAGGAACAGGTCCTTAGAAGACGTATTCATGTACCACATCACAGACCAAAAGAGAAAAATTGTGCTGTCATCTTAATAGGGCCAGAAACCGGTTGGCAGAATTCATCAGCCGTTCATGGCAAAAGTCCTAGCGAAGTTGGAGTGATGAGGATTTTCCATGACCTGATAAAGGGCTTCCAGAAGGAAGAAAGCCTGCAAGTGGTAAATGCAACTGTTTTAATTTAAATTGTTGAAAATGGATCCTGAAGAGTGAGACAGAGACACTGATTTTGCACACTCATGCTTTACGTTGGGACTGGTGGCCCCAGCCAGCACAGTGAACAGGAAAAGAAAAGAAAAAGTATAAGGACTGGGGAAAATTAGACCATCATCATTTGCCAGTGATATCATCATGTACATAGACTATCCAAAAACTCGCATAACTCTGTTAGAATCAAGAGGTATAAGAATCCTTAGAATAAATGATTTGCATTACTTTTAATTATTAGGTGAGAGTTTAGTAAGATTGCAGGCTATAAGAATCAGTGTATAAAATTAAATTTTTCTGTATACAATAAACGAATAAAAATGAAAATTTAAAAATATACCAGTCCTGGGGCACCTGTGGCTCAGTCAATGGTTAACCATCTGCGCCTTTGGCTCAGGTCATGATCCCAAGCTCCTGAGATCAAACCCTGCATCAGGCTCCCTGATCAGCTGGGAGCCTGCTTCTTCTCCCTCTGCTGCTCCCCCTTCTTTTCTGCTTGCTCTCTGAGATAAAATCTTTAAAAAATATATATGTGTGTGTGTGTGTGTGTGTATACATACACTTCAGTCCTTAGAAATAGGTATTACAGAAGTTATACAAATGAATCCCTTATAGAAATAAAAGATTAAAATAAGATTTTCACTGACATCTTTCACTTGAAATCATTCATTTAAAGAAGGACTTAAGTGAAAGGAGAGATGTCCTGTGACTTTGGTTTTTCAGAAGACTTGCTGTTAGAGTGACAAGAACTTACTTCAAACTGATCTGAGATTCAGTGCAATTCTGACCAAAATGCCAGCAAGGTTTTTGTTTTTTTAATTTAAAAATTTTTTAAGTTTAATTTATTTATTTGACAGAAAGAGAGAGCAGCAGCAGGCAGAAGGAGAAAGAGAAGCAGGCTCCATGCTCACCAGGGAGCCCAATGTGGAGCTCGATCCCAGAACCCTGGGATCCTGACCTGAGTGGAAGGCAGGTGCTTAACCAACTGAGCCACCCAGGCTCCTGCCCCCCACCCCAAGGTTTTCTTTCCTTCTTTTCTTTTTCTTTTTTTTTTTTTTAAGATTTTATTTATTTATTTGTGAGAGAGAGAGAGAGAGAGAGCACGAGCGAGCACAGGCAGAGTGGCAGGCAGAGGCAGAGGGAGAAGCAGGCTTCCTGCCAAGCCAGGAGCCCGATGTGGGACTCGATCCCAGGACACCGGGATCATGACCTGAGCCGAAGGCAGCCGCCCAACCAACTGAGCCACCCAGGCGTCCCTTCATTTTTTTTTTTTAACCTGACATGATTTTAAAATGATTATGGAAGAGCAAAGGGCTGGAAATAGCCACGATATGCCCGAGGAACAAGATCGAGTTATCAGGTACCAGAGAGCCGTTTTTATTATGATAAGAATATCCGTGAGGACAATCCAGAAAGCCCAGGGGTGAAAAGAGGGGTCAGTGGATCCGAAGGGAGAGCCCAGGAATGAATCTGTGAAGCCAGGACTTGTGGTGGAGGCGGCAGTGTGTGCAGGTCCGTTGGGGGAGAGTGGTAGGACGACTCGGGGTAGGAAAGCATGAGATCAAATCTGTATTTTGTGCCATATGCAAAAATCAGTTGCTAATGGGGCAAACGCATGAATGTGCAAGGCCAACTGTAGATCTTTTGGATGTTGCTATAGAGGAAGATGGTTGAGGTGTAGGGAAACCTTTCCTAAAGGTCAGGAAAAGCACAAATTACAAAGGAAAATACTGATAGGTTGCACCCTGCCCAATTTCAGATAATGTCTGCTCATCAAAAGTTACTTTAATTAAAAAAAATTTTTTTTTAATTTTTAAAAGATTTTATTTATCCATTCGTCCGAGAGAGAGAGAGAGCAGGAGGGAGAGCTCAAGCAGAGGAAGGGGCAGAGGGGGAAGCAGACTTCGCGCCGAGCAAGGAGCCCAATGTGGGACTGGAGTCCAATGTGGGATTCGATCCCAGGATCCTGGGATCATGACCCGAGCTGAAGGCAGCTGCTTAACCAACTGAGCCACCCGGGTGCCCCCAAAATCTACTTTAAGGAGAGAAAAGAAAAGCCACAAATTGGGAGGTAGTTTCCTTGCTTTTGCAACCCAAGTAAAACCCTATTCTCACCTATTGATGAGAACTCTCAAATCAAGAAGAGAAAGATAAACACCCAAAGGAAGGCAGAGAAAGACTGGGATAGGTGCGAATCACAGAAGACCCGCAAACAAATGCAAGAGGCACGGCCTCATTAAGGAACAATGAAATGCAAATCGAAACAGCCAGGTGACCTTGCACGCCCGCCAGATTGTAATGTGTCAGAAAGTGAGCAGGAGGCCTTACTGAGGTGAGGGGCCAGTTGCTGGAGTGCTAAGACTTGTGTGCACACAGCATAAGGCACGACCGCACAGAGACCACACTGGGGTCACCCGGCAGAGGGGAAGGAGCTAAGAGCCAAGGTCCTCACTGGTACGAGTGCGCAGGACAGGAGAAGAAAGAACAGCACCACCAAAGCAAAACCAAGCCAGTACCTTCAGCAGATTGACCAGCTGTGGTTCCTCCTCGCCCGATCCCCGCTAGACTGGAAGGTTCTAGAGCAGGGAAAGGGACCTGGTTTCAGCAGCATGTCAACACAGCTGACATCTCCCATAGCCAGTACGCTGTGAGCAAAGCCGGTCACACAGAATGTGTGCAGTGTTTCCATTTGTGTAAAGTGAAAAAAGTGGCACAGCTGATCAGTAGTGTCTCAAGGTACCTCTGCAGGGTAGAACCAGAGGAAAGATCAAGGGGGGGCTAACACAAAGGAAAGATTGGGCTGACAGGTGTCATGGAGTGGGGAGGCCCTTCTGCTCCTTGAAAGGCAGTGGTGACCTTTAAACATTGGCTGTGACCGTCCTCAAAGGCGAAGCACGCTTGGGGCGTGTACGCACTTAGCCTGAGTAAGGCCCACATCTACGTATGACAGATGAAAGGTACGCACAGCTGGATGGATGCCGCCCGTTAGGTGTGCTCACGTGTCCCTGTTATACTCTCTTAAAAAAGGCCAGTCGTGACCCCATAAACTGGTTCGTCACTCACTGGCTGAAAACACCGGCTATGCACATAGACGTTTGTTTACTCTTCCCTCACACGGTCCTCATCTGTTTTATTCACCCTCTATCAAAAGCAGAAACCACTCAAAGCAGTGGGGGACAGGGGGCATCCGGGGCCCGCGACTGCAGCGGCGGATGCCTGGGCAAGGCTCGCTCTGCACAGGAGGCCGGTGGACTCTGGGGAGGCGGGTTTGGACATGGCTCGGAGCTGTGTGTGAGACCACGTGTGGCAGCCACTTGGGAAAGTTCTCAGCTGTGTGCCGTCTGGTACCTTCCCAGTAGTCTGGGCCCAGCACACCCCACCCCCAGGGTGGGAACCCCCATGGCTGTCAGCCCCGGCCTTCGGCTCAGTCCAGCTTTGCAGGCCTGGGACAGCAGCCTTAGGGTAGCTGCCTGTCCTGACATGGGGCAGACCCGGATGTGGCTCACGTGGCCCAGTATCCTTTCCTTTCTCACCCCAGCTGCCCAGAACTTTCTGAGGACGTAGCTGAGCCTACTCTGCCTTCCACAGGTGCCAAGCCAGCTGCCTCTGTTGACCCGTGGGGTGTGCCCACTGGCGCCAGCACACACTCCGGCCCGAAGGGCTCGGACCCCTGGGTGGCCCCACAGCAGCCTGCCCTGAGGGCTGGGAAGACAGCGGACGCCTGGGCTGCAGCCTCGGCCACCAAGCCCGTCTCATCCTCTGGTGAGACCTCGCTCTGCACGGGCTCTGAGAGCCCCTTTGGACACACTGCTGTCCCCTGTCCTGGCTCCTCGGCATGGGACCTATGGTGGCCTGCTCTTGCTACCTTTGTCTCTGCGGCCTTTGTCCCCAGCCTCCCCCTCAACCACCACCAGTGCTATAAGCCCACTGTGAAGAGTGAGCCCACAGGCCCCCGGGGCACCTGAAACGCCATCCAGAGGGACTTCCCTAGGGCGCCTGGGCAGGCTGCGCTCTAGGCACTCCTTCCAGTAGCTTCCTGTGGGGGCCATCCACGTCGCCAAACCCGGCTCAGAAGTCTCTCTCCCCCGCATGAGCCCCTCCTTCAGTTTGGGCTGGGGCTGGTGGGAGCAGGGGCAGGCAGACGCCCCCTCGCCGGGTTGTGGGAGGCCTGGATTCTTGGCTCGGCCCCTGCCCAAACCAGCCGGTGACCCCGAGCTGCCCTCTGGCTCTCAGTTCTCCCCCAGGAGCGGGGCTAGCGATCCCTCCCCTGCCCGCCACCAGCAGCCCTAGGTTGTAGACCGGGACGAAGAATCATGGGGAACTACACTGCAGTCACCAGCCTCTTGTGTTCCCCCAGGGGCCTTTGATCTCTTCAGTAATCTGAATGGTACCATTAAAGATGACTTTTCTGAATTTGACAACCTCCGGACTTCAAAAAAAACAGGTATGTGAAGGTGGTGGTTGTTTCTATAACGTTCTGTGCATTTGACCAGTTATGGCAGAAATAATCAGCTTTCAGAACCTCTCAACTTCGCGCATTTTCTTTGTGTCTTGATCTTGGGAGCTGTAAGTGGCTGGTTGCAGGAATTCACACATTAGAGTGAAAAGTCATGCGGTTGAGATTTTTTTTCACCCTCTCCTGGTGTTGGGCCCATGCTTCCGGTCTCATTCACCTCTGGGTCTCGGCCCCTCCCCTGGGCCCCTTGCGGTTGCCTGCACAGGTGCCCCCCCCCCTTCCCCCCGCCTCTCCAGCCCAGCCTGGATCGCCACCGCCCCATCTGAACCGCTGCCTCCATATGCCTTCGTCTTCCCAACTTCCCTCTCCACACGGTGCCCCTTTTCCAGACAGCGCCTGCTCTGGGCCTGGACAGGGTGTCTCTGCCTCTACTTGATCACCCCAGGTTGTGGCTTCCACCCAGCCCGTCAGAGCCCCAGCCCAGTGCCTCTGGGCTGCAGGGTATCAGGGTGGGGAACAGAGAGTCCAGACTGGGGGAGGGGGCCAGGGACAGAGCCAGGCTGCCTCTGTCCACCTCCTGGCCACATCTTCCAGCCACATGGAGCAGCTTTTCTGCTTCACCTTATGCCCCCGCCACGATCTCCATCTGCCCCTCCACCCCCTCACCTCCCTCTCTCCTCCCCCCACTGCTTCCCCCAGCGGCAGCCATAGGCCCAGCTGGCCTCCCATCTGAGGTCTGTGCAGCCTGGTACCCCTGACTGCTGCTTGGCCCCCTCTCAGCTCAGGGGACCAGAGGCAACTTAGAACGTGCTGCTTCTTGGGGTCTTTTGCTGCATTAAACAAAATTCTGGGGCGCCTGAGTGGCTCAGTGGATTAAGCCTCTGCCTTCAGCTCAGGTCATGATCTCAGGGTCCTGGGATCAAGCCCTGCATTAGGCTTTCTGCTCGACAGGGAGGCTGCTTTCCCCCCTCTCTCTCTGCCTGCCTCTCCGCCTGTTTGTGATCTGTGTCTGTCAAATAAATGAGTAAAATATTTAAAAAACAAACCAAAAAAACCCCAAAATTCCATGCGTCTCTTCTGCAGGCTGGAGTGCAGCCTCGCGGTCATTGCCTACCTGGGTGCGCCGCAGCGAGAAGGCAGTGTGGCCCTATAACGTGCACAGTCCTTCTGTGCACTTGCAAACACTCACCCCCGATTCTAGAGCTGTTTCCACTGTAGAAAATTTGGAAAAGTGTATGGAAGAAGACGGAACTCCTCTGTAAACCTCTCTCCCCCCGCTGCTGTGTTGCCTTCCAGCGGTTTTTCTGAGCTCTGCTGACATGGTCTTTGCTTTTCTTCACTCTCAAGAAATTCATGATCATTATAGAAAATTGATAGTGAAAACACACGACATACGTCTTCTGCGTGCACCTGGCCCGCAGCCCCAAATACCATCCTGATATTTCTGGAGGACCGGGCCGTATGCATTTTTGCCAACTGCTGCTCTTCCCGTGACACGATCCGGCCCTCTTTCCCCATCACTAGGCCTCCTGTCCCTGCGCTCTGAGTTTGCGTACACGAACAAGGGTTCTGTACACTACCCTGTGGCTGACTGTCCCCGGCCAGGTCTGTTGGAAACAACACTGCCGTGGACATCCCCATCTTCTGTGTGGTGACACCGGTGTCCCCCAGAATGTGTGTGTCTTTGCGTGGGATGCTGCTGGGGTTAGCAGTGTTGCATGCGGGTCTCGGGGCCATGCCCTCCATCCTCACCGTGCCCCTGTGTGTTCTTGTCTTGTAGCTGAGGCCGTGGCCTCGCCACCGTCCCAGAACAACGGAACTACAAGCCCAGACCCCTTCGAGTGCCAGCCCCTGACCTCCACCTCGAGCAAGCCCAGCAGCGCCCGGAAAACACCCGAGTCCTTCCTGGGCCCCAATGCAGCCCTGGTCAACCTGGACTCGCTGGTGACCAGGCCAGCCCCACCAGCCCAGTCCCTCAACCCATTCCTGGCACCAGGTATGCTCAGTTCCTGGGGCTCCCTCTGCTTGTCTGCCCTTCCTGACCACGGGTTTGGGGCTAGTCTTGGGCCTTGACCTCTCCTCCACCTCTTGCCTCTCCTCCGGAGATCTTCCTGCCTTACCCAGGAAGCATGCCCAGAATTCCTGGGCCTCTCCAGGGCCTGGGGGGTGGGGCATGAAAGCTGACGTGTGGTTGGGGGAATGGGTGGGAAACAGCCCCTCCTCACCATGGAGACCACTGAGCAGAAGCTGCCCCACACTTCGTGTCCTTGGCCGGGGAGACCCTCCAGCCAGCACCACTTCTCGGTCAGCTGCGGGAGGGCAGCGGCGGGGAGAGGAAGAGCTGGGGTTTGCTGTTCAACATTCCCCTTTCAGGGGGCCCTTTGCAAGGGGCCCACAGACCTTCACTTTAGCCATTTGAGGTGCTGGATTCTGTCTTTCTGGGGCTGGGATCCCTGCCCTCCCACCTCTGTATTTATCCTCTCTGCCGTTAGGCTCCGTCTAAATGCCTGTTCTCCCCCTCAAAGGCTCTGTGGGCTGCAAGACAAGCCCCCCTGCCCTGGCTTTAGAGTCTGGGGTCCCTGGGGCCGTGGGGTTCCCCAGTGTGTCTCATTCAGGGCGTTCAGTCTGAGAGCCTCCCTCACACCATGGAATCTGCCGCCCAGGCCCGCGGCTCCTCGGAGGATCCTGCAGAGATGGACCCCGGGTCTTAGAAGCGCTGAGGGTGGGGACTGTAGCCAGTCCCCGTGGTCTTGAGCAGGGCGAGGACATGGTTGCCCCTCGCTCCCTGGGTGGAGCCAGATCTGAACCCCGTGTCCCAGCCAGGCTGGCTTGCCTGCCTGGGGTCCCGCCATCCCGCCACAGGGGGGCTCCCGGCACCTCCGGGTTGGCTCAGCTCTGGCGGGGCTGCTCTGTTAGGAGCTCTGTTAGGAGCGGCGCTGGTGCTGGAATGCCGGCTGTGCCCTCAGCGGAGCCTGCCTCCCCCCAGGGTGGGCTGGAGAGCGGGCAGCATCTCCTGGGGGAGCCTGAGGGTGCTCCTCGGCGGGCAGCCTGTGTGCTCAAGGGCTGGGCTGCTTGGAGGCTCCGTGCTGGTGGCGCTCGGGGGCTTTGGCAGTGCACCAAAGACATTTTTGCTAAAAGCTAGGGGAGAAAGCCTTGACGATGTATGGTACTTTCTGGAAACGCTGGATACGACAGAGCTGCCTCCACTTCTTGACTGCAGGGCTTCTCAGAGCCTTAGTCCTGCGAGCCCTCAGGTCCCAGGGTCCAGGGTGGAGACTGGCACTCTCTGGCCGCACGCTGAGGATCCCCGCTCCCTGATGGTGCCCCTCTTTCCCGGACACCTGGGGTCACAGAGCTTGACAGATTAGGGGGGTGGGACCAGCTGTTTGTTGCTGAGGGAGACCTGGGGGGCCAGCTCTGAGTAGGCACGCTCCTGGCACTGCCTCAGTCAGGCTTGGTGACTCCGGATGAGCCACTCGGCTTCGAACAGCCTTGGTCTCCTTGACCAGACGCTGGAGATGTAGGCAGGGGGCACGTGTGCCGTGCGTTGGCTGGAGGCCGGGGCTCTGCAGAGCAGCAGGCACTACGAAGCACCCAGTCCCCCAGAGGTGCACACATGCTCCTGGTCGCCCCCGTCTCCCGCCCTTGGACTTGGGGGTGGGTCTGTTCTGACTCAAGCCACTGCCCCACCTCTCTCCCAGGTGCAGCCGCCACCTCGGCCCCTGTCAACCCCTTCCAGGTGAACCAGCCCCAGCCGCTGACGCTGAACCAGCTTCGGGGGAGCCCTGTCCTGGGGACCAGCACGTCCTTTGGGCCTAGCCCAGGTGTGGAGCCCATGGCTGTGACCTCCATGACCTCCACGGCCCCACACCCGGCTCTGGGGGCTGGCGGGTCCTCCCTGACGCCCCTGGGCCCCACCGCGATGAACATGGTGGGCAGCGTGGGCCTTCCCCCCTCGGCAGCTCAGGCCACCGGCACAACCAACCCTTTCCTTCTCTAGTGCCCGGGCCGGGGCCCCACCACAGAGCGCATGCCCAGAGCCTCCGTGCCTGAGGACGCCGAGCAGGGACTCTCGATTGTGGAATGGTGTCCGAGAGTGGGGGTGTGGGTGTTAGGGCTTTCCAGTTCCAGCTTCCTGATAGAAGGGTTGTCTGCACAGCCCCAACCCTCAGACTCAAGCCGCAGCAGGCCTGCTAGACGTCAGACTTGGGTCTCCGCGCCTTCCGAGGCTGCCCACCCGCCTGTCCCCAGCCCGCTGCCTGCGGGAGGGGCCCAACCCAGTGGCCTCCCCACTTCCTCCCGAGCGCCGAGGTCCTGGTCCTGGAGACCGGCTAGCTCTCCGGGGCCCAGGACGAGGGGGCGGGAGTCGTCAGCGTTGACCTCACCCAGAGCCTCAGCCTGAGGGCCTCTGGGACGCTGCCTGGCTTGGGCCTAGGAACGGCCACCGCCGTTTCCTTGTGACCCACCACCCCCCCCAGCCCTAGCGACACCCGAGGCGGTCCCAGGTGTGGATGGAATGAAGCACCGGCTCCGTGAGATGCTGACCTTCCGGGGAAGTGGTTGTGCATATTTTATTTTTCTTTGACTCGTGTGTGAGTTCAAAGCAAACCCCACCACCGCGGAACAACTCTTAAATTAAATCCACTAGAGCGAGCTTTAAACTAATCTGAGCATAACCCCTGCCACGTGGCTCTATGCTTGTATACGTTTGCACATAATTTGTTTAGTACAGTTTCATATTTGAGTTTGCAGAATTACCTAATAGTCTTTTTTTGGCTAATATTTTTATAACGTGGTTCTTATTTAACTGTCTAGTTTTGATAGAATTTACCAGGTCTGGCTGAATTAAGATATTGGCACGTGTCATGTGAGTGGTTTAAACCCTCTTATTTATGGTTTTAACTCTAAGAAAATTTAAATAGGAAGCAAAAAAAAAATGCCTTATGAAAAAAAAAAACTAAAGCAAATTCTTTATAGGGAAAAATACGGGAATTTGATTACACAGAAAAGATGATGTTTATTTAAAAAGAAAAAAAAAAAAACAACCTACAACAGCAACAACGACAAAAACCCAGCCTCCAGTTGCCTTTTCCTTTCTTTTACTCCCTTTTTTGGTGACTTACCCAACAGATTGAACCGCAGCCTTCTGGGCTGGATCCTGAGAGAGGCTGTTTTTCTTACTGGTACACCAACATCAAGTTAAAGGGAAAAAAATCTGATGGATGGATGTGACACACCAGTTTTTATCTGCTAATTCCCTTTTATAACTGAAGGCATGCACGGATCAACAAGGACTTCCGTTTCCCGTGCAAATCGGAAACGGAAGAGGCATCTTGAACCTTGTGTGTCTGTGATCCTCTCTGTCTTAATCCGCACTCAGGGTAAGGATGGGGATGGCGTGGAGACAGCAGGTGTCTTCAGTGCCCACGGCTCCCCGGGGCCCACCTCCTGCTAACTCCAGACACACACTGCAGACTTAAAATTCTCATCATCTCTTGTTTCCGAGAGAAAGAAAAAAAAAAGTCATTCTCTCACATGGATTTTTAACAAACATGCACTAATATTACCTCCCTTTCCCAACTCCCTCCTTTCCTCGCCCCATCCACCACTAGAAGAAAAGTATGAATTCATGAAAGAGCAGAAAAGACGTGCTTCTCCCCAGGGAAGGAAGCCCCCCCCCCCCGCCCCCGATACACACACCCCCAACCTGCCTCCGGTCAGGTCACCTTGTCTGTGGGCGCTGCAGTCTCGCTTTCCACTGTGGACTTCACCCCAACTCCAAGGACAGCTGACCCCCTGGTGTTCCTCCGCTTCCCGTGGCCTGTTCTGGGAGGAGGTCGGACCCTGAGCAGGGCACAGGCCTGGAGATGAGCAGGCGGAGTCCTGAACAGCCTTTTCTGGCCTCTCCTGTTTCCTCATTTTAAAAGCTCACCCATGCCGCTCCCCAAGGCTGTCCCCTGGCCGGAGGAGCCACCCCCAGAGCTCCTGAACGGCCATGCCTCCGCCAGAGCCAGAGAGCTGGGGCTGGACCACGGGCTGGAGCCCACTCTGGCCTCCTCCGACCTGGGGGAGCATGGGGACAGGGTGGGGCCCAGCAGGTGGCTCCCCCCGGGAGGTGCTTTCACTCACATGGTGCGAGCCCGGACCCCTTCACAGGCCAGTAGCCCAGACCTGACTACTGCGTCGGTGATTCTTTTTTGTAAACAGTCAAGAGCCCTTCCTGACTTGACTTCGAGGCCCCAGCATTCTAGCCACTGGGCCACCGAGGCCCCACGAGACCCACTGCGCCCCCTCCCCCCACCCCCTCCCACCCGGGCACAGGCCTGTCCCAGGCACCTTGTCCCTGTTGCCTGCTGCACTGATCATGAAGCTGCCGGCCGCTGCCACGCGTGTGACGCAAGTGCCGTCATGCTCCCTCCCGATGGGCACTGGGGTAGGGGGCGCCACCCAGCCGTTTTCTCAGTCCCAGGGGCCGGTGGCTGGTTTTGAACGTGTGTTGACTATTGATACTTATTTACTGTACAAATATAATTTATCATTTGTATCATGATGCGGTTTCTGGCTGTGTCCTTCCTTGCCCCTGTCTCTGTCTCCCACCAGAGACGGGTGGGCAGGAGCCGGTCCTCGTGCCTGTGTGAGCCTCTGTGGTCAGGGGAGGAGGCTGCCTAGGAGGCTGCCTGGGAGGCAGCCCTCGGGGCACCACGACAGGTGGTGGGCAAGGCAAGGGCTTGGGTGGGTGGGTGGGTGCCCCTCCCCACCCGCAGACTTGGGATCCTGTGATCAGAGGCGGCACCACAGCGGAAGGACAGAAACTCCTTCCTTTCCAGGCAGGGATGGAAGAGGTGTTTGGACAGCAGGAGGATGTACGGCAGAGGCCAGCATGGGGTGGGGAGGGAGGCCTGGGGCGGCCTTGTGGCTTCCCATTTGAGAGGACCCCCCCAGCTCTGGCCTCTGGGGCCGCCCTGGCCCCCTGGTGGCCACTCAGGGAGCAGGACTCAACAGGCATCCTGGGGAGGGTTTGCCCCAGCTGGGAGCAGTGGGGCCTGCCACTCCCAGGACAGGAGAGGGGGGCCTGTGTCACGGTGCTCTAGGCTACGCTGCCCTGTCAGTGGCTTAGCCATCCTGGTCTGCGCTCACAGAGTCTGTTACCGTGTAGGCTGGCTCTGCTTCTGTGGGCAGTGAGCAGAGTGAGAAGTGTGTGAGGTCTCGTAGGGGGCCAGGGCGGGCAGGGGGTTTGACTGCCTCCCTCATCAGCACCGGCCCCGGGGGCGGCAACTGGGAGCAGGGGTTGGGGGAAATGCAGGCCTCCTTGGTGTCCCGGGGGCCGGGAAGTGGGTTAGGGTCACACACAGCTGGTCTCTGCCACAGCTGGCCTTCTGGTCACCAAATACTGATTTCATTCCCCCACACGTGAAGCATATCCTTTCCCCCAAGGGAGGTATCGTAGAGTCTCTAAGAGAATCACAGGAGATCACACATGGCGGTCTTAGGCGACAGTGTTTGGGGATAGTTGTCACACAGCAGCAGATAACAGGCACGCACATAAAATTCCTCCTTGCTGCCTTGCCCCATGCTTTTTTCAGCTTCCTGGTCGCTCCTGTTGGGGCCGTTGGGGATAATGGTAGGAGTGAGCTTAACTCCTGAAAACTGATGCTTAACCAGGTGGCTGAGTTGCTTGGCCCCATGAGAAGTTTTTACTAGAACTTGAGTGCTCGAAGCATTTTTCCTTCTCATCTCTTCCCATTTGCCTTCTGGACTCAGTAGTCTCCTTTCCCAACCTTTCGAGGCCCCCAAAGTTTTGGATTCTCTGTTTCTGTCATTTGGCCTTGCAAACGGGCCTTTCTTTGCCTGAGCTCACTGCCTTCCCATGCTGGCTTTCCAGATGCAGCCCACAGCGGCCAACCCGCCCCATGCATCATATCACCCACCCCTGCCTGCCCCTGGAGTTGGCTCACCAGGCACCGAACCTGCCTCCCATGTTGTTGGCACAAGTCTTACCCAGTTTTGTGCTTGCATAATGGAGCTCTCCTGCTGTCCAGCCTTTTCTCTGTGCTCTGCCTGCCTGTTGCCCAGCTGCTAAGCCAATACCACATTCACTCGGTTTGGGTTTGGGTGATGGCAGAAATCCACTCCTGAGTCCAATTTCCTTATCAGATCGGAACGCTCTGCGGAAACCACCCCCAAATTCTCTGTGGCAGAATGCGGTAAAAGTAGCTCCTAAACTGCCCAGTGGAGACATTCCTGGCTGTTGCTGCCGTGTTCCGTCTTCAGGATCTGCTCTCCAGGGTGCCATGGGGAAGGACGGAAGGATCGACCTGGGGAGCTTTTGATCAGAACTCTCAGTGCCGGACAGGCTTTCAACCCACATTTCTTTGGCCAGCGCTACTCCCAGAGATCCACCTGGATACAAGGGGCCCGGGGAATGGAGTCTTATGAGCATGAGGGGACAGAATGGATGGTAGGGGTTGAACTTGGGGCTGCCCACCTTGACTGTTCTTCAGGTAGATGGTCCCAGGTCTCCACCCCGCTCCCCACGCAGAGTGCCCGCAGCTTCCCAAGTTTCTGTCCTCCTGCCTTGACTGGGAGAGGCATGAGGTGGCTTTCTGCGGCGGCGGTAGCCTTCTAGACCCTGACCGGGCGTCGGGCACACATTGGCCAAGACTCGGTGTGGAGTACACTTGAGATCTGTGCATTTCGGTCCACATCCGTGGTCCCGCGAGACACAAATGATGCCCACAAACAAATGCAGAGCTCCGGTCGCAGGCACGCATGCCACAACGCACTGCTGTCTGCGACTTACTTGGAAATGCACTAGAACCAGGCTGGAGGGAAGGAGGGATGAGAACACAAGTGTGGGAAGGTGGCAGACAGCACGATGGCAGAGAACGAGAAGGGGGTGGGACCACTCCATCAGAGGTGCTGGCAGGCCAGGCCTGACGGGACAGGGGTTTCTGGGCAGCGGCGGGAGCTGGCCGACAGGCATGGCATGGGCAAGGATGGGGGGCAGGGGCAGGGGGTTGCTCAGCCTTTCAGAGCTGCAGGGGAGAGAGAAGGGGGCCCAGGTTTGGTAGAGGCCAACTGCATGATCCTGCCAGGTGGGAAGCCCTTGATGGACAGTGGGGGGAGGAGTGGGAGCAACTTGAAGGCATGGGGTCTCCTGGGACCTCAGGTGGGACCACAGCGTCTCTGGGAGGCTGGAACAAGAGGAAGCTCCTGGATTTTTTTTTTTTTTTAAGATTTTATTTTTTTCAAGTAATCTCTATCCCCAGCATGGGGCTCGAACTCACAACCCCGAGATCAAGACTTGCATGCTCCGCCAGTTGAGCCCGCCAGGCACCCCTCTTAGATCATTTCCGTTTCCTCATGAGCCGTTCAGCTGAGGGTGAGCACTACTGGAGATGCAAAGAAACACAAGGTGAGGCCCTTTCTCCGAGAGGTGAGGAGAGCTGGAGGAGGAGAGATGGGTTTGCCTGCTGCTGTGAGGGAGCCCTGGCTGTGGACTGAGCAAGGCAGTCCTGGGATGGCCATCATGACTGTGCCCCGGCCAACTGCTCGCTGTCACAGGCCCGTGGGGTGGCTAAACAGGGACAGGGGCACAGCAGTGCAGGATGGCAGTACCTGTAATGACCCCTGTGAATTATAAATTGGGCCAGGAGGAAAGGGAGGGAGGGGCTGACGGGCGGCCCAAAGTGGGGACAGGTGGGGGGGGGGGGTCTTGTGGGGCCCTGAGGCCATGAAGGACTGTTGGTGGGAGGACCATGGGACAGGAACCACCAGGAGGGGACGCGGATGATTGGGGGCGTATCTTGGAGGCAGTGGCATCACTGGTAACAAGAAATAGGCTGTGGGATGGGTGGTTGCTGAGGGGCAAGGCCAAGGTCATCACAGGGGAGGAGGAGAGGTGGTAGTATCCAGAATGGCCGGAGTAGAAGCCCCAGGGGAAGGTGGTCAGGTCTTCGGTGGGCTTCGGTAGTTGGTCGCCGGCCCCGGGCGTCTGGGGAGCTGGGACAGGGGAGGTGGAAATGCCAGTCAGGGTCCGGACACAAATCTCGTCTCCAGGCCCAGGGTCCACGGGCCGGGGCAGCAGAAGAGGGCCGCAAGGGCCAGTGTAGGCATTGGCACAGGACCGAGATGGAGGGAACTTTCCATTCAGAGAAGAGGGTCAGAATCACAGGAATGTTGCTGACGCCAGACCACGAGTCACAGAGCACACAGGGAGCCGGTTGGGGGGGGGGGGGGGACCGGCTGGGCTGCATAGACTTCCGGTGTCCAGAGAGCTAAGTGAGAGGAGGGGCAGGGCAGGCGCAGTGCTGTTGCAGGGCAGGGTCCACGGACGGCCAGGGCAATGGGGGGGAGGTGGTGAGGCTGGTGGTCTTGAGGCTGGGTGGCGGGGGCTTTGTGGCTCCCATTGAATCGAGCAGCCCCACGCTGGGGATAGAGATTACTTGAAAAAAATAAAATCTTTAAAAAAAAAATGCAGGTGGAAAGCAGATCCAGGGGCTGTGGGCCCCATGCCCGGGAGAGAGGGGGGACAGGCTGGGAGGGTGACTGCCACAGCAGTGCCGCGGGGACCTGTGTGTGGACGGCTCCACTACCCGTGTGCTGAGTGCTGGGTACTGAGTGCAGGGGCCCACTCTCCTCTCCTGCCGTGAGCCCAGAGAGCTGAGATTCCAGCAGCTTCCGGCTTCTGGGAGGATTTCAGCCCTGGTGTCTGGGCTGCGGGGGCCCTCTCCCTGTGGCTACCATCGATCTGATTCTCTTCTCCTCGCACAAGGGCCAGGTGCTCCTGAGCCCCAAAACCTTGTCATCTCCCTCCTGTGTTAGGCAAGAGTGTGGGGAGGGTCGCACAGACCAAGCGGGGCTGAACCAGAGCTCACAACCCAGGTGGCTGTCTCGTGTGCCTCTCCGGGCAGCTTCTGTGCCCTAAGCAGTACGGGGCGGAGGACAGGTCCTGGTCCAGCTCAGGGAGGCAGGCAGGCCGGCCCCAGTGACCTGCTCCCAAGGAGTGGGGGGCAGGGCCGAAGGGAGAGGAGGCAGCTCCGAGCCTGGGCTCTGGGGAAAGGTGATGCTTTATTATATAAAAATCTGCCCCCACCCTCCTAGCCCCCCCGAGGCTGCACATCAAGCAGCTGGATCCCTGGCCAGCTCTCCAGGACAGCCCTGCGTTCTCTGGCGGCGGCATGGCCAAATTCAGTGGCTGTGGCCGTGGCCCAGTGGGGGCCTTCACCGGGGGATGCCCTGGGGCGGGCTGGGCCCCGTGGCGCCCTGTGTGTCAGGAGGCCCAGTGTCGTAGCCCAGCTTCCTCATGTCCTTGGTCACCACATTGAAGAGGAGAGTGACAAAGCCCTGTGAGCGCACGCGGGTCACTGGGGAGAGAAGGCGGCATCAGCCAGGCTGCTCTAGGGTGTCAGCCCCAGCAGTCTCTCCTGTAAAATGGGAATGGCCAGCTGGCCCATGCCCCCCCCAGGGAGGTATGGGGGCTGCACCAGGGACCGACAAACCTGGCAGACCCTCTACGATCCAGCCAGGCCCAGGCGGGAGCAGTGCTCAGGGGAGAGGCCTGGGGTGTTCCCACAGTCCATCTTGTGCGTGGCAGGTCCCCGGCTTCCACCCTGTTTCCTAGGGGTCCACCCAGGCCCTCCCGGGCTCCAGCTTGCCTGTGGGGAGGGGGTGGGGTTGAGGGGATCAAGCTTTACCTTCTCGGCCTTCACCCTGGGCCACCACCTTGGGGTCTGTGTACTCGGGCCGGCGTCCCATGAACCAGCTGGGAGGACAGGAGGACATGGGGTGAGCAGGTCCTCGGCCTGGCTATCCCTCAGACCGGAAACGTGGGCTCTCTCCTGGCTTCAGAAACCAGCAGCCCTCCAACCCCTGCCCCCAGAGCCCGGCCCTTCGCAGAACCTTTCCACGCCCCCGCCCTCTGCTGGGGAAAGGTGAGGCTGGGGGCCACGGGCAGCATCCACAGAGGCCCAGCAGGCTGCCCCCCAGGCCTGAGGTGCTCTGTGCCCCACCCCTCCTTGGCTGCATGCCAAGCTTTCCCATCACGATCCCCCGTGGCTTTGAGGGAGATGTGGGGCTGGGGGCACAGTGGGAGCCCAGGTGGAAATCCCAGAAAGGGGACAGCAGCTGGGGGTGGGCAGTGTGACACCCCCTCCATCCTCCCGGGGGGAAGAAGGGCCCATCCTGGAGTGGTGGGCAGAGGGGCCGGATCTAGGCTCTCCACTTTCTTTTTTAATAGTGTGGGATCCAGGACAAGTCCCTTCCCATCTCTGAGCCCAAGCCCGGCTTCCTCCCGGCGGTATGGAATGAACTCCCAGAGCTAGAGAAGGCACTCTGGCAACTGCAATGGGGCGGCGGGGCGGGGGGACAGGACAGTCATCCTCTTATTCATGGCTCTCGCTATGAGGTTCAGGTGCCCCAAGGATGGGCTCGCTCCGCAGTGCCTGACTGGATCCTCTCACCCCAGTCACAGGTGAGGGGTGCGGCCCTCCGAGGGCCCTGACATGCTGGCTGTCCACCCGTCCCTCCCAGGAGCCCGGATCTGTAAACACCCCCATCTTCCAGAGGCTGAGAGCAGGACGGCCATGTGCCCGAGGCCACAGGCAGAGAGGTGCGGGCTGGATGCTTAGGGCTGCTATCCCCGGGCCTGCCACTCCAGGCCCCACAGCCTGTCGCAGCTCCTTCCGGACCAGAGGCCACGCCTCCGCCAAACCCACCAGAGCCCGAAGCAATCTGGGTGCACATTCCCTGCGGGGTGGGCCAGGCAGGTGGGGGTGTCACCGATCCAGGAGCACCTCCAGCCTGTGCTCGGAGGGTCCTGCGGGAGGAAGGCGGGGGGGAGGCCAGTGATGCAGCTGGGGGCAGTGGAGGCCCCAGGAGGCCCCTCGGTCTGTCTGTCCCACATTCCCAGAGCAGGCTCCGCCCGGCCTTCCGGCTAAAGTGGCTGACCTGGGAGGGCCGGGAGGCCTGTGCTCCACCCCAGCACCCCCCCAGCACCCCCACCCTCCCCATGGCTGCCCAGCACCCTCCCCCACCAGCAGGCCCTCCAGCTCCACGCTGGAGTCTCCTCTTGGCTCAGGCCACCCCTCCTGGGCCAGCCCCCCGACCCCCGGGGTGCAGCCTCCAGCGAGGGCACTGGTGTCCACTGGGTGCTGCCCAGGGGTGGGGCTCCGGTCTGGATGATGCCGGACAAAGCAGTGACTGCCCCCTGCTGTCTGTAGGCCAGTAAGGGGGCTCACTGGCTCCAAGCCTCAGGAGGGGGATGGGAGGGGAACTGGGAAGCTAGGGTTCCAGCCAGGGCTGGATGGCAGTCCACTGCGTCTGTGTGCCTCAGTTTCTCCATCTGAGGAGGGGGTTCTCTCCACCTCACAGGCAGGGGAAGCAGCCACCGCTCTGTCCTGAGGTCTACAAGGACAGGCTGTTCAGGGTGGAGGAGAGTGTCCAGCCGAGAGCTGAGGCCAGGAAGGACCCGGTGCGCTGGAGGACATGCGGGCTGCAGGGAGGGCCGGAGGTGAGCAGGGCAGGAGAACTCGGGGTCGCCCAGCACCCTCGCTAAAGTTGATCCTAAACGCAGAGATGTGCTTGATGTGTTTCTAAAGCAGCGTGTTTAGGAAAACCATTTTTGTCACTCTGTGAAGGCTGGGTGGGAGGTGCTGTCATGGGCTAGATAACGGCCCCAGCAGTCCTTGTCCCTGGAACTTACCAACGTGACCTTATTTGGGAAAAGGATCTTTGCACATCTAACTAAAATAAAGATCTTAAACATGGGGGGTTATCCTGGGTTATCTGGGTTCACCCTAAATGCCCCCTAAGTGTCCTTCTAAGAGGGGGAGGGAGAGGGGACACACCCAGGGGAGGGGGTGACACGTGAGGTTGCACACATGACCACAGAGGCAGAGATTGGAGCGACGGGCCCCAAGCCCAGGCGGGCCCCAGCCATCAGAAGCTGGCCAGGAGCAGATGCTCTCCAAGAGCCTGGCGGGGGGTGCAGGGGTGGCGGGAGGAGCACGGCCCTGCGGGCACCTTGATCTCACCCCACTGATACTGGTTTTGGACTGTGAGACAATTAAGTTTCTGAAGCCATCAAGTTTGTGATCGTTGGTTACACCAGCCCCAGGAACTAATACAGGGCTGAGGGGAGGAGGGCAGGCAGGGGGCTGAGCAAAGGCTGGCCTCTATGGACAGGCTCTGGGAAGATTTTGACCAAACCACCTTCGCTCATCAGACCATTCCCCACTGTCCGGACTGCAAACACACGCCTTCCCCGGGGGAGGCTGCCCATTGCCCCCAGCTGCTAGCTTCTGGCACTGGCAGAAACACCCAGAAACTTGTCCTGCATGGAGAACTCTTTTCTCAGAGGGACGTAGCCCTGAGACCCAAGGTTCCCTCAGAGCTGTGGGGTGCAGAGCAGCACAGACGCCACGGCCGGGACAGCAGCATGGGCTCAAAGCCCTTAATTCTTCCTGTCCCCACTAATGGGCACGGCCCCCATTTTCCCCACAGTTCCGCAGGTGGGTGCTGTCCCGTCTAGCTTACAATGGCCCAGGGCACCTTCCCATCATGGGGGCTTCTCGAGGGCCTTCGGGGGGGGGGCACCCACATTCTCCCCTCCAGGCCTCAGAACTCAGTGAGGCCTCCTCTGCGCAGGCCCAACGCTGTCCTGCCCTGCGGGACTCCGGCCAAGGCTCACCCCGATACCGGCCAGGCCTGCGGGGGGGGGGCCGCTCGTCAGCTGCACCTGGGCACCCGGGTAGCCTTCCTTCCCCCCCCACCCCCATCCTGGCTGTGAACAGAGGGCCCACTCCTGGCTGACCTGGTGGGGAGCAGTGGAGGCTCGCAGCCAAGCTGAGCGGACAAGAGTGTCTGTCGCCAACCTTGAGGCAGTTGGCAGCCCTCTAAGCCTAGACGTGGATGTGGTAAGGGGAAAGAGGCTCCCTGCTTCCCTGGTGTCTCCCCCACACTCCCCTTGCTCACCACCTACCAGCGACACCACATCCATGCTGCTCCGAGCACACTAAGCCCATGGACCTTGCTCTGTTTCCTACACCTGGAATGTTCCTTCCCCAGATCAGCCACACTGGCCCTTATCTCCGCTCTACTTTCTGTTCGGATGTCACCTCCTCCAGGAGGCCTCCCACACCACTGTATCCTCCTGTGTCCTTTTTCATGTTTTAATGTCCTATTACGTCGTGAGCATCTCCCCATCTGTCGAGAGCTTTTGCTCTGCCCTGGCGCAAAGACCAGTAATGGGGCACAGAGTATAAAGGTGTCCGGCCTCATGTGGCTGGACCAGCGGCTGACGGGAGCCCACGGCCGCCACTTCCCGGGGCCCCAAAGACGAAGCAGCTGGGAGACCCAATGAGGTTACCCAGTGCAAGTGAGGGAGGACAGGGACACCCCTCCCTCCCTCCGCTCTGACTCCCTAGGTCAGAAGCAGGCGCTGGCAGGAGGATGTCAAAACTCACCTCGTAAACTTCTGCAGTTTAGACGTGGATTCGGGGACAAACATGGGGATGGTCCTTTTGTGCCTGAAACAGATGTTTTCACGAACAGATGTGCTGAGTAACAGAAAAGTGGTGGGACTTTCCGAGCGTCTGGTAAGCAGGAGGTGCCGGAAACGGCCCAGGGTCCCTGCGGGCCTGGCATCTTGTCAAGGCTCGGGATGGTGCTGGGGTAGAGCCATCACTCCTGGGGGCCCAGCTCCCACTGGGCCCCTCAGAAGCCCTGTCCCCCACATCTCCAAATCCTCCACCATCTCCAAGGCCCGGTTTGGATGCCCTTCCTCCAGGAAGCCCCCCGCGATTCCCTGCGCCTTCCCCCCGCTGCTGCCCCCTGCCCTAGTCCTCCCCGCCAAGCCTGGGGTCCTGGCCCTCACTGCCCAGCCCTCCCTCCTCTCCACATGCCTCCCCCAACATCCTGCACCTTCTGTCTCAGCAACAATACTCTGGACGTTTGGCTGTTCTACTCTAGGCGAACTCCTGTCATCTGCATCCCAGAATCCTGTCTAGAGCTGTCACTGCGCGTCTCTCCGTGTCTCTACTCCTCTGGCAGCTCCCGCTGCCCAGGCCCCAGGGGGACGCCAGCACACTTCCAGCCTAGCGGCAAAGTCTGTCCCAGAAAAAGCCCTGCTGGGGGTGCCCTGGTCCTAAACCAGCATGGCCCAGCAAGGGACGGACTGTGGCCCCAGGGACCTGGTCAGAGCCAGAACCCACCTGCCGGGTGAGAAAGGCACGTGCACTGCCCCGTAGCCTCGGACCACATCGTTCCCAAACACGTCTGGTCCGTATACACTGAGCACGATCTGCGGCCCTTGGGAAGAACAAGACAAGGGGTCAGCAGGCGGAAGGTGTAGGGCAGAGAACAGGAGTGGACACCGGACCCCTCCCCCTTCTCCACTAAGGGCTTCTGCCGACCCAGAATCCGGGGAGGCAGGGGGGGACAGCAGTGGGGAACGCGACAAGTGGGCGAGGTCCCTGGCGAGGCCCAGATGCCCGGCAGATCCTGTGCCTTGACAATACAGGGAGGAACCCCAAAGGCACTCTTCTCCTCGCTCAAGGCACAGGGACCCAGCCGGGAAGTGAGCAAAGGGGCCGCTTCTTGGGAGCCTCCTTTCTGATACAGGTGGTCAGATTCAAGTGTGGGCCTCCCAGGTTTGCAGCCCACAGGGTCTGGCTTTGGGGTGCCGCGGGGGAGGTCAGAGGGAAAGAAAGACCTTCCTCACATTTTCCTTTAAGTGATCGCCGATCCCACCGGTTCCCTGTAAACATGGAGGTACATTGGGTCCTTTCTCCGGGGTCAGTCTATTCGTCCTCTGAAGGCAGGGGAGAAGTCGCTGCCTGGGGTGAGGCAGGGAGGCCTAGGCACCTGCGGCCTGTAGGACAGGCCTCAGGCCATCGGACAACTCACCTCCCAGCCTCTCGGGTCCCTCACCTCTAGGCGACCTCCGTGCCCTGCGTTAGGTGCTCGGTGAGCCTAAGACACGGGTTCAGGGCCTTTCCCATCACTCCCCCTCCCCCAGAGGGAGCCCCTATTCCGACTTGAAGAAAGCGCTCCTTGTAAGCCTTTCCTGCCAAAGAAGGCATCCCAAACATGGTACTTTGGTTTTACCCACTTTTTTAAGGGCTTTAATTTTGAGAGCGAGAGAGCAAGTGAGTGAGCGAGCACGGGGAGGGGCAGAAGGAGAGAATCCCAAGTGGACTCCAAGCTGAGCCAAAACCAAGAGTCAGACACTTAACCCACTGAGCCACCCCAGTGCCCTGGTTTTACCCATTTAAATGAATAAATAAAACCTTATACAAATGGAATCGTAGAGTCTGTGTATTGGTACCCAGCTTCTTTAATTCAATGTCGTGTCTGTGAGATCCGTTCAGACTGTCATGTAGGAGATGTTGCTTGTTCTCAATGCTAGAGAACATTCTGGCTCTGGACAGACCAGGAGGACAGAGTTTGCTCCGGTGCCGATGGGCATGTGGGCAGTTTCTCCTTGGGGAGCCCCCAGGTGGTGAGGCTGTGAGCTCTCGTTCAAGCCTTGCCCCATGCACGCACACGGCTCTGCTGGGCACGCGTCCCAGACACCCCCACACCCCTGCTAGGCCCTGGAGTTCCCGTCACACCACGTCCTCACAAAGCAGGGCTCCTCAGTTTTCCTGATTGGAGTTATTTGGGCGTGGGCACGGGTGGCAGCTCACCACAGCTTGCCTTTGCCTTCACTGCAATCTTTCTCATTGAAGTAAAGCCCTTGCTCTGTTTCTCTGTCACTTGGATACCCTCCTCCGTGAAGGACCTGCTCGGCCTCTTGCCTGTATTTCTACCAGTCTTTTCCTCATTGACATGCCGTGTGTATGTGTGTGAATTCCGTGGCCTGTCTTTGCAGCTCTGTTATATTTTGATATTAGAGTGAAGAATTTCTTTTTGATATATCATTTTTGAATCACATGTGTGCGCAAGAGAAGACATAGTCCATTTATTTTCATACAAAAAGCCACTGGTTTTTGCCTGTGTATCTCCTATCCGGCATTCACACCAACTTATTATTTCTAGTAACTTATCTGTGGGTTATTTTGCAAATTCTACACACATAATGTCACCTGTGAAAAATGACAGTTTTATTCTTTCTAATTCTTATGCCTTTTGTTTGTGGTGGTAGCAACAAGGAAATCGTTCACCATTTCACTTAGAAAAGCTAATGTTTGCTCTAAGTTTTTTGTAGATAGCCTTTATCAAATTAAGAAAGTTTCCTTTCAGGAGCCCCTGGTGGCTCACTTGGTTGGGGGTCCAACTTTTTTTTTTTAATAAGATTTTATTTATTTATTTGACAGACAGAGATCACAGGTAGGCAGAGAGGCAGGAAGAGAGAGAGGGGGAAGCAGGCTCCCCGCTGAGCAGAGAGCCCAATGCAGGGCTCGATCCCAGGACCCTGAGATCATGACCCGAGCCGAAGGCAGAGGCTTTAACCCATTGAGCCACCCAGGTGCCCCCCAACTTTTTTTAAGATTTTATTTATTTGATGGAGAGAAAGAGATCATGAGCGGGGCGGGGGTAGTAGAGGGAGAACCAGACTCCACACTGAACAGGGAGCCTGATGCTAGACTTGATCCCAGGATCCCAGGATCATGACGTGAGCTGAAGGCAGATGCTTAACTGACTGAGCGACCCAGGCACCCATGGGGGTCCAACTCTTGATCTCAGCTCAGGTCATGAGTTCAGACCCCACAGTGGGCTCCACGACTTTATAAAAAAAAAAAAAAAAAAAAAGCAAGCTTCCTTCTATTCCTAGTTTGTCAAAGTTTACCATGAATGGATGCTGAATTTTATCATCGTTTCTACATTTATAGGGATGATCGTGACTTTCCTTCTTTTTAAAGCAGTGAATCACGCTGGTTGATTTCGGATATTATATAAGCTTTATATTTCTGGAATAAACCATACTTGTTCATATGTTATCCCTTTTACATCCTGCTAGATTAGGCTTATGAATATTTTGAGAGTTTCTGTAACCATGTTCAAGGTCGGGAACGATCTGGGGCTGGGCCGCAGCTCCCAGGCTCCACCAAGCGCTCTGAGGTCTCTGTCCAAGTTGCAGGGATTTTCCTGATTTTTCCGCCCCGAGCCCAGAGCAGCTGTCAAAAGCCTCCGTCAGCCTCTAAGTCACCTCTAAGGGAATCAACAAATACTCTCGAGGCGATGTGAGTGGGATCACGTCTCTAGATTTCTATATTCTCCGGGATCGTGGCCTGGTAAATCTCTAATACTTTGCTAGCTCTCTGAAACCTTGGAATAGTTGTGCTTTGTTTTTGCTTTTTACTACTGTATTTGCCTCTGCGAGCCTTCCTCAACAGCAGGAGATGGCCCACCATCCAGTGCCCTGTCCCAGGAAGCCTATGGAAGTGCTCTTATTCGTGGATAATGACAAGGAGGACCGCCAGGCAGCCCCTGCTTTGGAAACCCCGTACCCAGCAAGCCTAGGCCCTAAGCCACATGCAGCAGAGAGGCTCAGACTGTGAAATCAGATGGGCCTGAAATCCAATCCATGCTCAGCTGCTAGATGTAAAGCCAAAGGCAAATGATGTTACTTTTGGGCCTCGGTTTCCTAACGTGAGAAAAGAAACAGAGAGTGATCTGTCCACCGCATAGGCCGAGCCCACCTGGGCCACAATGGCCACAGGCTGGGGCCGCACTGATACTCTCTGAGCTTCCTAAAGGTCAGCTCTGTCGCCTGTCCACGAACCGGGGTAGGGGTGGTGGGGGGGAGGTGGAGGGAATCGGCCAGGTGGCAAGAGAGCAGAGGACGGGGCTGTCGCAAGGGCCCAGGGGATGGGCAGAGAGGAGCTGGGAGCGGATGGCCCTGGGGGCACCTCCCCCCGCCCCCACCCGGGTGTCCCTGCAAGGCCCCTGTAGACTCACAGCCGTAGGGGTTCGTGCTCTTGAAAGTGACGTCAATCGGGAAGTTCCACACCAGCGCTCGCCGCACATCCTGGCTCTTGGACGTGATCTGTGAGATGCCCTCCTCTAGACCCTGTGGGGACAGGGATGGCGACAGCTGGTGCCCATGCTCCGGCTGCCACACCGCTCCCCTGACCTGGGTGGGCAGGTGGGAGGGCTGTTTTCCTCACTACCTTCTGCCATCACGCTAACTTCCCATGCCTGGAACTCTGGGGCACCAGGGCAGCTCCTGAGCCTCTCTGGGTTTCACTTCGTCGGATCTGGCTTCGTCAACACCCGGCCCAGGCCCGGGTTCTCGCCCCCTCACCAGAGGAAGCAGCCGCGGGTCATGTCCCTCTTCAGTCACGGTCACATACGTCGGTGCACGCGTGTGGGTGAGCTTCTCTATCAGGAAACGAGGCTGGCCTTATGTCTTCCTCCACCCACCAACCTATTCGTAGCTCCCCTGCCGAGCACAACTCCTCAAACGAGCTGTTCACACTCGCCGGCCCCATTCTTACTCGCTTCCCTCTCGAGAACCCACTTCCGTCTGACCACAGGTGCCCGTGCTATCGAAGAGCTTTTGGCGGGGAGCACCAGGGACCCCAGGGTTGCTGTATCTGCGCACATTTCTCTGTCCTCAGTTTACCTGACCCAGCAGCAGCACTGGACACACTCCGCCTGCGTGGCTTCTGGGACACCATAGTCTGGGTCTTTCCTCCTCATGGTGGGGGGGCCCAGTGTTGCCCTCGCCACTTCCTCTTCATGTGGGGGAGAGGGACTCCCAAACCCGCAGGCCGGTCCTCACTTCTGACCTCCAGAGCGCCACGGCCCAGCCTCCACTGCTGACCCTGCACCCCGGCTGGATGTCTACCGGGAACCTCAACCTCCAAACATGCTGGGCAGAGCTCTGGAAAGTTCTCCCAGATCTGGCTACCCAGTCTTCTCATCGAATGGCAGCTCTGCTCCCAAGGCTCCCGGGCTAAGAAGCTTCGTGTTATTCTTAACTCCTTTCTCCCGTGCCCCACATCTGCCCAAGAGGAAACCCTGTTGCCCCCACCTTCACAATATACTGGAAATTCGAGTGCCTGCCACATCCCTGGTTCCGCACCTCATCTACGTGCTGTCTTCGCTCCTCAGTTTCTGGCAGCTGTCCAGGGTCTCCCTCTCTGGCCCTTGCTAGTATGCTAGAACATACTAGAACACTGGTACTTATTGTCTGTCTCGCCACACAAGGTTGTGTGCTCCACAAAGACTGGGGCTCTCGTCTGGCTGTCTGGGGAAGACAGACTGCTCTGAGGCAAGTCTTGCAAGGAGAGCTTCTATTCTGCCTTCGGGCTCCCCAGAGTCCTCCCCAAGGGCTAGGAGAGGGCTAGAGGCTCTACGGGCTGCCCACACGTTCCTCTTCGAGGCCACGTGCAAGCTCCCGGGACGGGGCACGTGAGCGAGTGCAGCTTTGATCCCGGGAGCCCGCCGATGGCTGCATTCCCTGCTCCAGCTTTTCCAGGAACAAAGTCATACTTGGAACCCCCTGAACTCAGTGTCTACCTCTCCATGGGTTCTGAACTGGGAATGGAAGGGGAAAGGTGGACACCTTCAGAAACCCCATCAGTCATGGAGCCTGTGCATAAGGGACACCCGAGGGCCCAGCTTACCGCCGTGGGGGCCCAGTCCTGGCCATACACAAAGCAGTACTTGCAGTAGAGATCATCATACTCCGGAAACTGCGGGAAGAAGCACACACAGCTTGTGATTACGGAGACCTGTGGTGAGGTCAACGTGTTGACTACGTAAGGGCAGCCAATAGGAATTCTGAGCACCAGGCACCTGGAGTGGGTCTAAGAAACAGCCAGGGCTGAGGACACGGGGTGCAGCATAGGGGCTGGGGCCCGAGATGTGGGAGTCCAAGGGACAGTTCCAGGCTGCTACTGCCATTGAGCCTTTGCCTGAGCTCTGGCTTCTGTCTGGCATGCCCTTCCCATTACTCCATCTGGCAAACTCCGGTTCATCCTTCAAAACTTACCTTTCAGGGAGCCTGTCCTAACTTCCAGGCTCCCCTCTGCCCCCCCACCCCTGTCCTGGCTCTGTCAGCCCCTGGTCTTTCCCTCTATCAAAGCTCTGATGGCTTGTTTATTTCTGTCAACCCCATTTGACTGTGAACAGGGAACAAGTGTGATGACATTTTTGTGTCCCCAGTGCCTGGCACAAGGGTCGGCCCAGAGGTCTGAGGGAATGGTGCCAAAGTGAAAGGATGCTGTTGGGACACGAAGCCTACAAGAGACTGGAGCTCAAGGCCTGGAGAGAGGGAGGGACCAGAACTGACTGGGAGGCCCCGGGAGGCAGGCATGGGTGCTGACAGTGCACAGATGTGATCCAGCCCAGCCAAGGGGTCCATTCCTAATGGAACCATTCCTAATGGGTCCCATTCCTAATGGGACAGAAGAGACGAGGGGAAGGTAGTCATGGACACTAGGCCAAGGGGCAGGTGGATAGGGTGGGAGCATGGAGACATGAGCCCAATGAAACAGGGAGGCATGAGAGACCCAGAACTTTACCCAAACCATCTCACTTAATCCTCACAATAATACAATAAACACCGTCTTCCAACAGCCTGAAAGGGTAATGCATCAAAATTTTGGCGGCAGGCAGACCTGGGTTTAAATCCCAGCTTTGCCGCTCTGTTTGGGCAAGTGTCCCATCTGTAAAATGGGGACGCTAATAATATCCACTTCACAGGGTTGTTGCGAGGACCGAATGAGCAGTGATGGGCACCAAGTCTGGCTCAGGGCGAATTCATGGTGAACTTATCTATCTACGACCAATGGTTCTTACAAAGTGTAGTAGCGTCCCCTTCTGTCAGACTGACCAGACTCTCCCCGGGTCTTTCCACCACCCCCATCGTTGGATCAGATTCCAACAGATCACCTCCGTTCTGACCCAAATTCAAGGATCTGAGAGTTCAGAGCGCAGAGCATTCGAGGACCGAGGCCCAGCGTCCCGGTCGAGTCTCGGCTACCCGCCTTACACCCGCGTTAGGTTCCTGTCCGTGACTCAACGAGCTGGACACGATCCGAACGGGGTCTCAAAGTCTTGGCCGAGCGTGTCCTCGGCACGAGCTCAACCTCTCGAGGTCGGCTTCCACCCGCGCACATCGGGGCTGAGGATTCGCAGGCAAGCCTCTCAAACGCTGGTTCCCCTCCCCCGCCTAACCATGGGAGACAGAGGCTCGGAGGAACGACGCACCTCTCCGAGGCCACGCGGCAGCCCTGGAGGTCGCGGGATGGGCCTCCGGGGAGAGTGGGGTAGGCCGGGCGAGGTCCACGGCCGCTCACCTGGGCGCTCTCCACCTGCCCGTTGACCATGAGTAGGAAGACGCTGGGACCCGCGGCCGTCATGGCCAGGCTGGGGGCGCCAGGAAAGTACCCAAGTTGCGCGCGGGATTGCGGAGAGGCTCCGGGTTGCCCTGGAAACCGACGGCGTGGCGCGTGGGACACGTTTCTTGGGATGGGACCTTCGCTAAGGCAAGCGTGTATGCCGTAGTGCGCAGGCGCAGCCAGCGGCGGCTGGTGTGGGGGCGGGGCTTGGGGGGCGGGGCTTCGCAGCCCCACCCTTCTCCGGGGAAGCTGGGGCAGTCCACAAGAGCTGGGTTAGAGCATGGGCCTATTGCGTGGAACCTAGCCACGCCGCGGTATCAGACTACACTCCCAGGGAGTGTGTGTCCGCTCGGCTTCGGCCCCGCCAGCCCCGAAGCGCAGAGGCACTCCCTGACTCAGGCCGGTCGGAAACCAAGTGATACAGATGCCTTCCGCCACGAGATGGCGCTGTGGCGCTACTGGGAGGACTGCGGAGGGGGAGACTGCAGGGCGCAGGTGCACCACTACCACCGCGAGTCGGCAGTAACGCGCGAGGCCCGCTAGGCCCACCAGGGGCGGGGCCGCCCGGGTTCTGGAGAGTCCCCAGCTGGGGCCCAGCAGCTGCGTGCGCAGGCCAGAGGGATGCTCCCTTGGGGCTTTTGAGGACCCCTGCCCCCCCAAAGTTTATTAAACAAACTTGAGAGGGACCTCAAAAAAATCTTTAGTCCAAGCCACAGCTCCTCCATGTGAAGGAGGGAAACTGAGGCCCACGGAGGGCTTAGCACCTGGCATCCCAGCCATCTAGCCATCGGAAGAAGAGTGAGCCTGAGTCCACGGCTCTGCTAACTTAATGTTCACATGACAGTTACTCCCTGGCTGCCCGGAGTAGGTCATAGCTTCTGTTAACACATGTATTCTGTCCCTCTGAGCACTCACCATGGTTTATATGACTCGAGCTAGTGCTTGGCTCCCCTCCCCTAGACAGCCCGCCTGTTCCAGGAGCCCAGGGGCCACGCTGATCTTGTGTTCTGGTTTCGGGGCACATCGGAAGCCCTGGTAACGGTGTTAGATGAATGAATGAAGGAGAATCACAGAGGGGAGGTGGCTGGGCTACAGTCACAGCAGCAGGGAAGTAGCTGAATCAGGGTTCACTGCCAAGACTTCACAGACTAAAGAGCCTCAATGCCTCCTCTGTCTGGTCCCGGGCCAGTTCTTGGCCATGGTGTCCAAAAATGGCATTAGAGACCTTAGCTCTGATCCAGGAAAGGAAGGGAGGCACAGGTGTATAGATTTCCAGGAGCTCAGGCCCCCAGCAGGGACCCCAGGTCATGATGCCCCTGCAGCAGCCAGTTGCTAACTTGGAAGCAGACCAGGGGGCTCCCTTCAGGCACCTGTGCAGGAGAGGGAAGGAGGAGTTCAAAGTCAGCCCAGACCCACCAACCACTCCGGGAAAGGTGAGCAGAGATAATGGATTGGGGGAGGGGGCTGTGGGCAGCCAGGGTTCCCACGTGTGATGGGAGATTCTGAGGTTGCAGAGGGCAGATGGGTGCGGGCTCCAATGCAACCACACGCGGAGCTCAGAGCTAGGGTGAGAGTTGTCTGCCTTTCCAGGGACTTGGTCATATCCCTTCCCCCACCCCTCATACCTTCTTTCCAGTTCAAATGCTCTCTCCCATGGATTCTACCACTCTTTCCTCCTTGTGGCTTTTGAGGCTCAGTATCACACAAAAGTCGGTTGTCAGCAGAATGCTTGTGATTATCAAATAACCAGGGCTTCCAGTAGTTTATAAGCCAGCTGTGTCAGGGGCACCTGGGTGGCTCAGTCATTGACCATCTGCCTTCGGCCCAGGTCATGATCCTGGGGTCCTGGGATCGAGCCCTACATCGGGCTCCCTGCTCAGCGGGGAGCTTACTTCTCCTTCTGTCTCTCCCTCTGCACCCCGCCCAGCCCACTAACCAAGTGATATGGAATGGGAGGCCCGGGATTGGGTGGGAGGATGGCCAGGCCTAGCTCTCCCAGGTCTGGTAAGCTTAGGAAGGACTGCAGGGGGAGGGGCATCTTGAGGCCTGCTCAGGGCCCAGCTGGAACCCTTATCACCAGTTTGGGGAAGGGGGTGGCAGGGGGCTGGGTGCTCTGGAAACCCTACAGGTCTGGACAGTCAGGGTGGACACTGTGCAGCAGGGATCTGCTCTGGGAGGGTGGGGTGGGGGGTAGTGGGGGGTTTTGGGGGGCAGACCCTCAGCCAGGACTGACATCCAGATTTGCCCATTTCCTGCCCTTCCCTGAACATCCTCCCGGACACTCCCCACTCCCACCTGCCTCTACTAGGGCTCCATCATCTCCTGCGTTCTCACAGTCCTCCCAGGGAAGCTTTAAGCCTGGGGAGGGGACCAGGAAGGTGTCCACTGCCTGCCACGGGGGCTGGGGGCTGACTCGGACCTAGTCGGGTATCCGTGCTCCCCCTCCGCCCTGCCTCAGCTGTTCCTGGGGCTCAGGGACTGTTGGGATTACTGCTTCTGCAGGAGCCCCAAGCTCCTCCCTGGCTGCCTGCCTCACCCCGGTCCAGCACCGCTGCTGCCTTCAACCATCCCAGGTCTCCACTCCCATCCTGCAGAAATTAGCTTCAAATCCTTGGGCCCCTGCAGAGCTGCCACAGGAGGAAGGGGTAGGGCCGGGTGGCCAGAGGGACAGGCTGCAAGGCACTGCTGAGAGATGGTGGCCTTGGCCGCCGGGCCAGGGCCAGGCTGCCAGAGCCAGAGCCCTCACACCCTCCTGGGGACAGGAGCAGTTCCTCCCCTGGGGACAGGAGCAGCTCCTCCACATGGGACATGCTTTCGCATGGGGCCCCTGACCCGGGACGTGTAGCCTTCCTCTCTTTCCTATCTGGCTCCCCACCTTTCCATCCAGGCCCCTGCTAAGCTCTGCAGCCCCTCTCCTACCTCTCACCCCTCCAGCTGGAAGTCAGACTGCCTGCAATGTGATCCTGTGTGACTTGGAGAAAGCTACTCAACCTCTCAGAGCCTGTTTCCTGGTTACACCCGGGGAGTTGTGGTCAGGATTAGATGTGATAACGTAGGTCAGATACTTAGAGCAGACTGAAGCTTGATGTATTTTAACTCTTCTTGTTATTAAAAGCACTTCTTGCAATACTCATGCCTTTTCATGCTCTTCCTTCTATCCAGCACATCATCTCTTTCCTGTCCATCCAGAGAACTCCTATTCAACCTTCAAAGCCCATCTCTGTGAAGTCTTCTCTGAACTCCTCTCCCCAACCCCTCACCATCTTCCTCCCGGGACAATTTCCTCACCCTCCTCCCTAGAAGCTGGTTGTAGGCGGGGTATCCAGCTCTGCTTGCTTTTCTCTCGAGACAGGGAGCTCACTCTTGACTGAGGCAGCTGGGTCTCATTTAGGTAGCCCACCCTGTCCACCTGGTCCCACCCTCAGAGGTGGAGCCCTATCCACGTGGAGCTCCTCCCTGCAGACTAGGGGCCGCCCGCCCCCACCTGTCACCATCTCTGTCCCGCACCCAAGTTCCTGTTACTGGAACGCAAGCCTGGGTTAACAGTTTTTAGAGAATGCGGACTCTAAGTCCTCAAGGGATGGGTGGCCCCGCCCCCTGTCCCCGCCCCCTTCCCGCAGCCCCTCCCCAGAGAGGAGCAGCACCAGCACCACCAACATTTACACAGCCGGCCCTGGGTCTCATCCGTCCCCATGGGGTCTGTCTTCCTCCATCACCCCAGGACATTTCACCTCTCCGGTGTTCCCTCCCCACCACCCACACAAGGCTCATGTCAGTGGGCAAAGGGGTGCCTGGGGAAAAGGAAACTGCTATGGCCTGGATGCTGGGGGTTGGGGGGGGTGGCAGGTGTCCCGCTTACAGACCCAGACCCATCCCGGTGACTTGGGCCAGGGGCTCCTTCCCCGGCCTGCCTCCCGTCTCAGGGGACAGAGATGGCAGCTGGCCACAATCCACAGCAGTGAGGAGACTCCCACCCTCCCTTTCCCGACATCCCACGGAGCTCTGGGGCGCCCGCATTGAGGGTCTCTCACAGCAACTCCACAGGAGTGGTGCTCCGTGCCCCCCGCCCCCCCCATTAAAGACGGGGCGGCTGAGGTTCAGAGAAGTGAATGGCTTGGCCAGATCAGTGTGTTGGAGGCCGAGTTGGATTCAAATCACGGTCTGGGCGACTCCAAGTCCTTATATCCTTCTTCTCCTGCCCTTATCGGTCCCCCTTCCTGGCTCAGGCTCTCAGCTATTCTGCGGAGGGGCTGGACCCGGAGATGCAAAGTTAGGTCCTTTATGGCCCGGCAGGCCCTCTCCACCCCGTGTCCCTCCTGCGGCTGCCCCACCATCCCCTGCCCCCCAGCCTCACAGTACTGCACCCCTGCACACACACCGCCTTCTTGCAAATTGTATGCATTTATATTTCATTGAGGTGGAATTCACAAACATGAAAGCAACCATTATTTTGAAGATTTATGTGTTGGAGAGAAAGAGCGTGTGTGCCCACACATGCCCGCACAATGCCGGAGGCGGGGAGCAGAGGGAGAGAAATAAGCAGACTCTGTGCTGAGCCCGGAGCCCGACACAGGGCTTGATGCCACGACCCTGAGATCACAACCTGAGCCCACATCAAGAGTCGGACGCTGAACTGACTGCGCCACCCAGTCTCCCCTAAAGTAACCATGTTTAAGGTAAAATTCAACGTGCCCTGTTGTCTTTCCACCTGCAGTTCCTTCATGCCTGAAATAGCCCTTCCCCCTTTGCTACCTGAAAGCTTCTAACTGAACAACCTCAAGGTCCAGATAATTGTCCCCTTCTTCTGCCTGCCTTTTCTCTGGACCCCTCAGCCCCTCTGTCACAGCCCCGCCACAAAGTGGTGGACCACACTGGACCACATTGAGAACTCCAAGAGCGCCCGTGGAGGGAGGGCACATTGGAGCTCTTGTCGGATGATCGCGCGAACGAGTAAATGAGTAGAGGTCTTTGGGGGACCTTTTAGGGGGCAGGGCTGCAGCCTTAAGGACCAGGGCTGAGCCTGCAGTTTCCAGCCAGAGAGAAGGTGTAGATTCAAGTTAGGGGGGGGCGGGGAGAAGACTGAGGGACCCCAGCCTCCAGCAGCATGACAGAATCATCAGGGCTGGGTCTCAGGCAGAGC